ATGAAGAAGCGAGTACCTCAGAATATCAGCAGTGAGCTGATCGCTTCCATTCCTGTAGATTATGCTAGATGTATTCCTGTTTGTGTGGCTTAATTTAAGTAGTGCAGACCTCCATCCAAAGCAAAAGCAACAGATGTTTCCTTGGAGGAGCCAAGATTCTGTACTTGTTTGGCAGTCTTCCAATGCATTATTTTGGATAGATCTGTAGTTTTGTCCTCTACTGTTGTTAAAACACAATGGTTTCCATCAATTTAAGTGACTTCCCTAGAGAGATGCTGCCTTACATCTTACCTCACTTCTGACCATCTGCAATCCTCCATCCCACTTCACAAAGTAAGCATCTTCATTTTCCAGAGCACCCAGAGGTAACCCACACCAAACTGGGGAGAATATTTGAACTCCATACAGATAGCAACCCAGGCAGATAGCCACCGTGCCACCCCCACATTATTTCTAGTTTTTTTAACCCAGGAAATGACATCAGGTATTCTTTTATCCCTCCTGGATCTTCATTGAAAGCTCAGCATAGTGATTGGGAGTTTTAAATGAATGTGTTGTGCCTGAAAAGCTTGTGTTAAGCATTTAACCCTACTGTAGTGCAATGAAGACCAGAGTTATAGTGGCTCATCAGGAGAATGTTCATCTTGGTTTCCATGGTGCTATGTCATGGACTAGAGAGCATGGAACCACCCCCACCCTCCCAGACTGGTGGCCAGTCTGTCAGAATACTGCCCAGCTGTGTGGACTGGTGCAACTGGGGTAAAGAACAGTAAGATCTGCAGCAAGACCTCGGACCCACAACTTGTTAGAGCTGATGTGTGGTGAGCGTTGTGGTGCACTATGGCTGCCGTCGCATCATCCATGTGGATGCTGCACATTGGTCGTGGTGGAGGAGAGTCCCCATTACCTGTAAAGTGCTTTGAGTGGAGTGTCCAGAAAAGTGCTATATAAGTGTAAGGTATTATTATTATTATTATTAAAGTATTAGTTATGACTCTTATTCTTGTTATAAATGCTTATTCATTAAAGATATATCACTTCCACTGCAGTGCTAATCAAAAATCTAGTCTAAATCTAGGTGCTGCCAAAACATTAACAAAAGACAAAATAACCCCCTCAAAAAGCACACTTGGTACAGGAATTGTACATTTCAATTAATATTCAAACCAAGGAATTCCATATGATCTGACATCTAAACACATCTTTTACTGCAAACATTGAATAATGGTTCTATTTATAATTGATACTGTGATTGATAATGGATTCCTTTTGGACAAGAGCTTATGCCACAAATAATATTTCTGAAATCATTCAAAGGTATGGGCAATATTCCCTAAACAGTGTGTGCATAACAATAGAATAATGTTTTAACATTTTTTGTGAATTTTAAAAGTTACCCCCCTCCTTCCTGCTCTGCCAACCCCTTTTCTGCAGAAAAGAAGTTGAACAGGAAGTCACTCGTCTGGACTTGATGCTAATGTACCACACAGGGTGCCTAACACATTGTGAAAGAATGATGGTAATCTGCACTCGAGCAGAAAAAAAGCAAGCAGTGTTCATGTTCGGTAGATATTTTGCACTGTCATTCAGCATCTCCAAAAAGTAGATGTAGTGTTGCACTGTAATTTCAAATGGCTTAAAAGGGCAAGCAAGCCGAGGAATCAGGATATTGAAGGAGAGAAAGCCAGTGCATTGGACCAAGCAAAAATCAATCTTTAAAAGGGCAATTCAGGATTATGTAACAAAAAGTGTGATCAATATCGGACTATTTAAGAATGTGAGTAAGTCATGTTTTTATCAGGTTGTGCAGTCCATCACTTAAAACTGCACCTACAACTCCTCGACAGCTTCTTCATTTGTGACCAAGTACTTTATCTTGTACACTTTTGATGTGTCATTTCCTGTCCAGGGAGAGAAAGCAGTACAATCCATGGGCTTTAAGATTCAGATTAAGGTTCATAATACTGCCGTTTATGACAGGCCCAGAGCCTTCCCACCTGACCAGGGAAATACGTTCCAGACAGTCGCAACTCCGTTGATAAAAGCACAGTTTCTTTGTGTCACGCCAGATGTAAATTACTTCAGGGGAACATGAGGTTGAAAGACAGCCTACACCCCTCCCCCCACCCTTTCCATGAGCTGGTGAGTTACAGAAACACAACAGCACCAACTTTGGGAAAGGTTCACAATGCTTTTAATGGGAACGAAACAGGAGCCTTCCTTTTATTCAGATCTTTTCCTTTTTTTGAGCTGTAATGCCAAGATAAATCACTTAGTAGACATTTATTACTATTCCTGCAAACACGCACCAAGGAGCTAAACAAATAATGTAAAATACCAGGATGAATGCTGGGGCATTCTCCCAAGCCCTGGAATTAGGGGTGTGTGGCCAGGATGGGATTTTTTCCAGACCCCATTAAATTTCTGTATGGAGTTGAACATTGTGACACTCCATTCCCGGATTGTATAAGCCTTTCATGGATGCATGGATGCTAGCCAGCATTTTAGACACAATTCTTTGTGATTGGGCAGATTGCGACAATTTATGGCGGGGTCACAGGTCACAGATTGTTCTGATTGGACAATGCATGTGCCTGTCAATATTACAGTCCAATCCAACACAGCAAGATCGAATAAGGTGTGGTCTTGCCAAATAATGATGTTGCAGTGAAAAGAAAACAGACAATAAGGGATATCTTTTACAGCTGTTTCTAAACTCCTGACAACCCACTTGGGCATGTCGTAATGGTATCTTTAAAATAGGTGGGTCCAGGACAAAGCCCAAACACAGCTGTAAGCTTATATAAACAGTGCTCTTTATTTTTACAGTACAGAAAAAATATTCAAAATACACCACAACCAAAATAAACACCAAACAAAACTTTTAGCTCCTTTTGAGCTTTTGACTAAATTTCTTCCAGGCCCAATCTAGCATACGGGGTAGCTAAACTGCTGACCGGCTTCAAAACAAATCATTCACCCTCTGAGGCTCTTCAGTCTTCCATAAATCTCAATTTCACAGTTGACTTTCACCAAAAGTCAGAGATTCCTTCGGTCCTCAGTAGGTCATTCTCCCTCTGGTGAATCGCACACATAGAGGTTCCACTATCTGTCCTCCAGATGGCCAATGTCACTCCAACTGACCTACACAGGAAACCACCTTGTGACCAATTGTCTTCCAGCAAATGGTCAAGTAACTGAGAGCAGAAACCCCTTCCCCCCAGAGGCTTCTGGGAAATGTAGTTCTGACAGGGCTGTGATCTCACAACTGTAAAACTGGGACGTCCGAACATAACAAGGGAATTCATTTCCAGACAACCACTGCATCCTATTCTCTTTCCTCAGTTCGTTTCACTTTTCATTCCCAGTTTTGAAACCCTTGTCAATGTGTCACTACTAAGTGTAAAATAATCACCTGTGTTGACCTTGTATACTGTAAATTCACCCCTTAACCCCTTATACACCCCTTAAGATTTATGTACTTGGTATCCTGTGTTCTATACTGAAGAGATTTAGCTCCTTTAATTTGCAGTGGTTCTCAAACTGTGGTACGCGCACCGGCAGTGGTACGTGGAGTGCCGCCAAGTGGTACGCCAAATGACCCTGGAACTGTGTCGTGTGCGCTGAAAAATCGGGACTGGTTTTCATATTTTGTATTTTAATACGTGTCGAATACGCAGCCTACGTACTACGATACAGTGCGCGCTAATACTTCAGTGGACACAAGAGATACTCTGTAAATCTATACCACTCTATAGGAATGCTTGCTACGGATGCAAGTGACCAATTGTATTTAAAAAAAGCTACTGTATCTCCAGCAAATAGGGAGAAAGGATAATGTGCGTGATTTTGGAACAATGCAACGTTGTAAACACAGGAATGCATAGAAATGCATGCTACGAACGCAGGTAATCTTGTGAGCAAATGAAAGTGTGATAACAGAAAAATATTAAAGAACTGTTCTAATTTGAGAAAAATACACCGAGCGTCTCTGTGTTTCGCTCCCATGCGCATGAAATAAAAACTTTAAATAAATACGGAAATAAAAACAGAAACGTGGAAAAATGCAAGCTTGCGTATTGCTAAAGCAGGTAAGCTACACTATTTTTGAAGAACCTTATTTACCGTTGGCAAAACAGCTGACACGTATTACGTGTAGAGAAAAAGCTGCTAAACAGCTCGACCTGCTGCCCCCCTCCCCCTGAAAGACACAGTCATTCATAGAATTATTGAAATTAAGGATTATATCAAAAGTACACTGATAGAGCGCGTTAAGATGAGCAGATGTTTTTCACTGCAATTAGATGAGTCTGTAGTCGATTTGGCCAATTTGCTCGTTTACATAGATACGAGTTTGAGGGCATGTCCCATGAAGACTTTCTGTTCTGTAAACCGCTACCAACAGGAACTACAGGAGAGCACATATTTCAGCTTCTGAATGAATTTATCGAAGAGAATGGCCTCGACTGGATAAAATGCGTCTGAGTTTGTACAGACGGTGCTAGAGCAATGACAAGCCGACATAACGGTGTAATTGCACGAATTAGAGAGGTTGCTCCAGAAATTAATGTACGCATTACAACATCCACCGCGAGACCTTTGTCGTCAAGAAAATGCCTGACGATTTAATATCTGTTAGACTCTGTTGTGAATTGTATCAAGGCTCGAAAAATTAATTCACATCTGCTTTGCTCAACTAAACAGGCTCACCCCTCTCACTGAAATGGTGCTTTTTTATTAGTTGTTGTTAATGTTTTTTTTCCTGTAAAACACTTTGAGAAGCCACCTTTAAAGGCGCTATATCAAATCAAGTTTATTATTATAATATTTATTATAGGTATGTGTGAGTGTGTGCACCTGTGACGTCCCTCAGAGCAGCTTAAGCTGTATTTTCTCATGCCTCTCTAGCTCAGTGAGTCCCACAAGCCTGCAAACCAAACCAATCAGTCCCTAGAGAGAACTCCTCTCTGAAGATCTCACTCACTGTCCTCCCAAGCGGCGAGTATTCAATTCAAACTTTATTGTGTCCTAGGAGAAATGTGTTTTACGGCACAGTCAAACACAACTCAATGACAATACACATCATCAAAAGGGAAGAGAATACAGATGCCAGGGATGTGTAGATCAGGACCCTATGCAGACGGCAGAATCCGGAGGACGAGGAACTGGGCAGGCTGACGAACAGGGGGGCATGACGACGGTGAACTGGTGCTCGGGGTGGCGTCACCATGGCAAACAAGTCTGAGGGAGTCCAGGGGGGATATCCAGGGTGAAGTCCAAGAGTCCAAAACCGGGAAATCCAAATGAGACACAGTTAAAAACTGGAATGGGATCCGGTGCAGGGAGAAGGAGTAAAGATGGGATGACGGGGACAGGCGCTCTGAGCCCCGGACTGAGCTGGAGCCATAGGAGGCCTGTGCCCTCAAGCCGTGGGCCTTCGGGCGTCCATCTTCCGGGAGTAATGAGAGCCCCCGCCTTAAATAAGCAGGGGCAGGATTGGAGGCAGCTGCACATAATCAACTAAAATGTGAAAGAGCCGGAGTGCCCTTAAGAGGAGGGATTACAATCGTGACAACAGAAGTGTTACAGGAGAAAACTTACAAGAGACAAGGTAGTTACTTTGTATTGTTTAAGAGTGTAATTGCAGTGGGAATGAAAGATTTCCTGAGTCTGTTGGTTTTACACCTGAGGGCACAGAGGCATCTCCCAGATGAGAGAAGTGTGAATTCGCAATGGAGGGGGTGAGACACACACTCCCTGATGCTTTTGGCTTTCTTAGAGGGTTTTGTAAAGGATGCTTAAGCTGATTTGATTATTCCCAATTATTTTGCCACTTATATTCACTAATTTACCCAGCCTGTTACAATTACCGGTACTTATGTTGCCAAACCAACAAGTGAAGCAGTATGTTAAGACACTTCCAATGAATGATTTGTAGAAAAGTGTAAGAATAGTTTTATCTACCTTAAAGTACCTGAGTTTTCTAAGAAAGAAGAGCCTCTGTTGGCCTTTTTTATAGATAGTATTTACAATATTTGTCCCATTTTAGGTTTTGTCAATGACTAGTCCCAAGTACTTATAGTCATCGACAATTTCAACAGGCTGACCATCAATTGTAGTGGGTTGAGGGGGTGTGGTATTTTTCCTAAAATCAATAACCAGTTCCTTTGTTTTTGAAACATTTAACTTTAGGGAGAACTCGTTGCACCAGTTTGTAAAATCATTTAGAATGGGCCTATGATGGTATTCTGTGTCCTTTAATAAACTGACCAGGGCTGTGTCATCAGCAAACTTAATGAGATGCCTATCTGTCAGTTTGGATATGCAATCATTGGTGTACAAAATGTACAGCAGAGGGGACAAGACACAGCCCTGTGGTGATCCAATTGATGTGTTGCAAAGTCAGATAACCACTTCCCCAATTTGACCTGTTGAGAGCTGTTAGTTAGCAAGTCTAGCACCCACCTTATTAAGTTCTCATTCAGACTGAAGTGCTTTGAGAGTTTCTTTGCAAGCAACAGTGGTTGTATTGTGTTGAAAGCAGAGGAGAAGTCAGCAAATACAATCCTTACAAACGTCCCTGGTTGGTTCAAATGTTGATAGACCAGATTTAACAATGTGTGTATTGCATCGTCTACTCCCCTCCTTTCCCTGTTTGCAAACTGCAGGGGGCCAATGAGGGCTTGTGTGATCTTTGTGATGTGTTGCTTCACTATTCTCTCAAGAGTTTTCATTGGGAGATATGTGAGGGCTGCGGGCCTGTAGCTGTTAAGGCCACTAGGCTTGGCAGTTTTAGGAATAGGAATAATGATGGATTTCTTCCACAGAGAGGGAATGATCTGTAAGTTAAGGGACATCTGGAAGAGAAAACTAAATATTGCAAAGCTGATCTGCACAAGATTGTAGGACCCTACCACACACATTATCTGGACCTGCACTTTTCATAAAATTGATTTTATAAGAGTTCTTATAAAACATTTCAGTAGCCCAGAGAGGTGGGAGATTCTGCCCCATTCCACGCACAGCCTATCCTGACAGATTTCACTCCCTCGCAATTAACTGAGGGCCACTCTTCAGTCTGCAGTTTCGCCCAAGTCAACAGGTGGCCATATTGGCTCAAGACCACAGCTGGGCATGAATTATGAGCCAACGTGGTGGCTTTCTCTCAAAGCCACTTCTTACTACCTCACAAACCAGTAAAGGATTTTTTTTGAGTGCCTTGATTGGGACTGGGATTTCCCAAGCAGAGGTGGATAATTGGACAAAGGTCCCTAAATTTTCCAGCCAACCTGATGCCCCTCTCTCATTCTTACCAATTCTGACTTTTTACTGGTACTAGAGATTAACCTAAATTTAGGCGTGCTGAAATGAAAGAGAGTGGAGCAGGTGTTTATTTAGACGCTATCTGATTGTGAGTTTTTGTGGTTCATTAAAAACATGAGATGTGTCAGGAAAGAAGGTTTCAAAGCAACAAGAGTACATTATAAATGATTCTAAGATAAATGTGCTTGTAATAACTAATACGTTTTTTTCTGAGAAAAAAGGAAATCATAAAAACACCTGCTTTAAAAAAAGCCTCTTTATGACTTTCCTAAATAAGTACATTTTATGGATTAATTTACAGCTGCGGGTTTGCACTGGTATTCTTTAATATTGGTTTAACAAGGGAACCAGAACAGGTTTGCTTTAAATGGGTCTAATGGCCTTCTTTTCCATTATGGTAACGATTGAAAAGGAAGAGAATGCACATTCCAGTCGCATGAATACTCAAAAAAAGCAATAAAATCCTCTTTGCTCTTTTTGTAAGCATTCTAAAATGTTAGCGGATACACGTTACAATATAGAAAATTGTCATTTTATGTAATGTGGAACACTAAAAGTGGAGGCATCACTCTTAAAAATGGGCACACAGCACTTTCAGGAAACATGTGCCCTCTTTCCTTCTATACAAAAACAATTGTGATTAATAATTAGAAAGTGTCCAGAACACGCAGAGGGTGAGATCGCAGCAGAATGCCCAATAAGATAGAGAGATAAAGAGGCTTTTTTTAAGTAGAAAAGGAAAACTAACTTTAAACTCAGTCCCATGTGCAACAGTACTAGGACATATCACTAACCTGGTGCGTTAACATTACACCTCAAGCTTGTGAAGAATACTCAAGACGCTCAGCCATTCAGGACTAGTCTTGAGAAACAACATGTTTGGCACTGGATTTGGGGCTGTGCAGCAAAAGAACTCAGAGGTGTCCTGGTAACAACAGTTTGAACACATTGCATAAGCTTCAGTGGTGCATACAGCAAATTTGTATGTGTAAAAGTATGTGCATTTCCTTCAAGTGCTCTGGTTTCCTCCCATAGTCCAAAGACATATTGGCAGGTTAATGTGAGTGTGTGCGTGTCTATGTCTGGGTGAATGGCTGGATGGAATATAACATTTGAAAGATTTCTTTTAAAAATTCATGCCCAGAGAAACAAGCAATGCTGAAAACAAGCTTTTTACTAGCTTCTAATCTTTGGAAGAAGCAAAAATCATGAGTTGAACAGAAGAGTCAAGTAATCCAATCTGTAAATTAGTTTAATTTTCTAGCACTGTTTCTTATCATGGGCTGTGCAGTGCAAGCCCAGGAATGGATAAGTGCAGCTGGATTTAGTCTGAAGAGAAATTTCAAGTTACACCCTGTCTCTTGTCAGTTTCTGCAAACAGGATATTAATGATTACTCTCACTTCGGTAGCTGTGCTTCTAAGTGAAGCAAGATAGCTTTGATAAATGCAAAACACCAAGTGCCCTGTGGACCAGGAGACATATTGGTTTACTCTTCAGGTTCATATTGTACTAAAAGCAGGTCTGAATGTAACAACACAACTTTGTGAATGTTGCTGGAAACCATTTTAGTGTAATAAAGCACAGCGATACTGAATTTAAGCCGTGCGATAAAGCCCAGTTTAAACATAGCTAACGGACTGGAGGAGTCACCCTTAACATAAAAAAGATTTTTGCTTGTTTGGTTTTCGTATCTAAAATTTAAAAGGCATTGCTTTGAAGAGGCGCAGCCTGGATAACAGTGGGATTGAGAGGACTCGCCCCGCACAGTACTGGACAAAAGCTGAGAGTGACTTTTAAAATAGCACTGGACACCTAAGAGAGCAGAAACAACAGAGAGAAAGCTTCGTTTTCAATAGCGAACAATAAGAGAAAAACGATATCGTTTGAACTTTACAAAGCAGAAAAAAATCCTCTACAATTCGGAAAGGCAGCCTGTTACGCAACGCCCATGTCTGACATAAAATACAATACATTTGAAGATTTCGTGTGAACACTTGCTTAGTTTCTGGCGCTTTTTCCTACGATGATAGCTCTGTCGCTTCAGCCTCCAGAAAAAAAAGTGGACGAAAAACCTTAGCAAATTAAAGAGCTATCTGTGATTCTGTTTGTGGTTTCTTAACTCTGGGCGAAAACATCTCGTTTGTCTGGCATCGACAGCGGCGTTTTAAAAAGAGAAACGTCTTTTCCTCCCCACAGCGACCATAGGAGCGTCAGGGAGATGGGCTGCTCCGCGAAGCGACACCCTTAGAGATCTCCCCCTGCTTTTCACCCCGACAGGAGAGACGCTTACCTTAGCACACCGTGTAACTTACCGACAGCCACGAACTCCGGAGGAACAGCGTATTTGTGAATGTGTGTATTTTTGAATGTGTGCGCTTTATCAGGAGGGAGCGTCATTAAAGAGCAATTGGACATTAAATATATTTTTATTAAGAACAACATTTTCGAAAACTGTGTTGAAACGCCAGGGTCAGTGAAAATATTTTTTACGTGAAAACATTAACTTGTAATACCTGGTGCTTATTTTGTCACCTTTTAAAAGTATTTAGACCTTGAACTGGAAAAGCAATAGCAAATTTGTGATTTGGAGCAAAAACGTTTATGTATATTCGTTTGCAAATCGACTGATGCATATGTGTTTGCTCAAATATCTATACATTTTTTTTCCTTAGCTAAAACAAGCACGGGTGGAATTTCTGAGCCGAAGACAAATTCGTTCGCTTAACTTCTGATATGCAGTTGTAGAGGTAAGATAATTTTAAAATGTGCCTTGTTCGTAGTGTTCGCTACAGAGATTGTTGTGTTGACTGCAGAGACAACTCTGGTTTGGACAGCGACTTTGGAGACGCCCTTGTATGAAAGTTAGAGTTAGCAGACATTTAAATTTAGAGGAACAAGTAATAGGTTTATTCCTTGCTGAAAAAAAGAAGTAAGGAAACACAACGTTTCGGCCGTGGAGCCTTCTTCAGGTGTGGAGAAGTTGACACCTGAAGAAGGCTCCACGGCCGAAACGTTGTGTTTTCTTTCTTCTTTTTTCAGCATGGAATGAACCTATTACTTGTTCCTTTGCAACTTACGCATGCTGACGCAGCTACCCACCGGAACTATTTAAATTCAGAGTAATGGTTAACTGCTCAAGCCTATCATTTTAATCAAACGTATTTCACTACGTCCATTGTTTGCTGATTGCAAAATTTCCCACTATACGGCACAGCCTAACGATGATGTTGTTTGAACTGGCCATAGTTCATTAAAGGGCAGTCCCTTTTTTGTGCAGTACTGTGCAATAAATAAAGTACTGACTGGAATACTTGATAGGATGTATTTTTATTTGCCTATCTTTAAATTGCAGGGGCACTTCCGTAACGCTTTCCTTACGCATTGCACTATACTAAAATGCAAGAAAGTTACCGTATGTTAATGCGAGTTAAGACTTGCTAAATGACTTCCTATTAAAGATAAAATGTGAACACAGCTGAGTTCCGAACCCTTTGCGATGGTGCTCACTTTGAGCAATTTATGGTAGTGATCTTTGCTCTAGGCAGTTTTTAATACATGCATTTCCACACTGCCATCCTATTCAGAAACAAATGATTCCGCAAAATGTTGATCTTATCTGAACCACGGAATTGTGAAATATGACTAATGTTGTATATACATAAAGTTTGTTTCTGCAGTTTACATTTCTCTAAAAATGCATTCTCTGTAGTACAGTGCACTACAGATTTGTTATCGTTATTTTGATGAACCGCCCTACTACTAAAAATGACGTATTGTCCTATCTGAAAATGTGTGTAAAGATTTGGTCATAGACCACCACTTATACTCATCCTGTAAAGCGCTTTGAGAAGCCACCTTTAAAGGTGCTATATAAATAAAGTTTATTATTATTATTATTATTATTATTATTATTATTATTATTATAGTAATAATAAACACCACCCAGAAACATCCTAGTCATCCTCTCTAAGACTCTTAGAGTAATGCCAAATTAACTGGATATTCTGCATCTCTGCTTCTTGTGTAGTGTACCTGCCAACAGATCAGCTCATGGGTGAATCTACACCTTTCTTAATCTTGATGTAAAATACTCTTCTTCACCCAGAATACAGGAAAAGCTTGGTTTGATCTGAAGTCCATAACATAACACAAACCTTGTTCTTTGTTTACATCTGTGCAGATTTCTAGTCCAATAAAACATGATCTACTCCATCTCTTGTGACAGTGGATAGGGTATGCACTGAGCCAGAAATTAATTTCCAAGATACAGCTGTGTGCCACAGCTGATATGTGGGCACAGCCTTGACACGCCACAGATCTGAAGATGTCAACAGCTTTAAGAATTTGTCAGTGGTACAAAGTGTTAAGCAGGATGGATTGTGTAACCATTGAGTTGGCTGTACGATATACTCCAGGAAGAGCACAGCACAGAGGGCAGTGAACTCAGATTTGAAGGGGCTAAAATTGTATTGAAATCAAAATGCTCCTATCAAGCAGACCAGTGAAAGAAAGCTCACTTGTCCCACAATTACTGAAACCATTACAAATTCATTGCAAATCTGGGACCTGGCCATCGGCACAATAACCAGTTTCTGGCTCACCACTGCTCTGGTCTTTTGGTCCTGTGTTGCTAGCATTCTCAATCTGTGAACACATGCCATTTGCATTATTTTTCAATCCCGATTACAAGATTGCACTGTTGAGGACAGCATGCAAGTGTTTAGATTTAGATTCTGCTGAAGAAGTAAGTGTGATTTTTGTCTCAGCCCTCCTTGTTGTCAGATTGTGCTGTGCTTGCTTTTGAAGTCACAAGTAGGTCTGTGAGAATGGACCTGTCTGCCTGTTTGATGCTATCAGGCGATGTGGGTTAGGTGTTCAGATACAGAATATACATTTGTTGTACAAGATATGAGGGGACAACTTCAGTCCTCAGTTTCTGGGCTCCTTTGTTTTGAATTCAGATAAGAATATGGAATTCAATTAAAGGAATAACAAGATAGCTCAACTCAGGGTGAATGAAAAAGTGGGAATTTTACACATAAAGACGTGTCATGGTTAAAATTTTCTTCAGTTAACCCATGGCAAAACATAAATTGTCGTAGAAGATTCTCATTATACATTAAGGAAAAACCAACAAAACAAAACTTAAAAAAACTGGTCCAGTCCAGTGCTTCAAACTCTTGGTACTTAAGGAGTTAGTTGAACAAATTATGTAATTCTTGATTGATATTCACTGCACCTGAGTCCAAGTCTTTAGCAATTGAGAAGTCCCATGTAACAAGTCAAGAGAAGAATGTGATTAATCTGGAGCCAGAACCTTCTCTTCTTTTGCAAATCTTCCTAGGATCACATCTAAAGTGAGATTTCACAGAAATGAGCTGTGTTAGGGTGTGGCACAGTGGTTAGCTTTGCTGACTCACTGCGCTGGGGTCCTGGGTTCAATTACTGACCTGGGGTGGTATCTGTGTGGAGTTTGTATGTTCCCCCCATGTTTGAGTGGGTTTCCTTCTACAATCCAAATATGTGTTGGTAGGTTAATTGGCTTCTGGAAACATTGGCCCTGGTGTGAGTGTGTGAGTGTTTGTGTTCATGCCATGTGATGGACTGGTGTCCCTTCCCATTTTGTGCTTATTTTTCCCGTTCAGGTGCTCTGGTGCTCTGGTTTCCTCCCACAGTCCAACAACATACTGGTTGGCAAATTGCATTCTAGGAAAATTGGCCCTGGTGTGAGTTTGTAGCCGGGATAGACTCGGGCTCCCCCACGCTCCTGAATTGGAAGAAGGGGTAAGAAGATGGATAGATGTTATGTCTTAGAAATAGTAATTCATGACTTATCTTTTCCAAGACATACAACAGGCATTTTTTTTCTCACAAAACTGAGTTTCCTTAAGTCAGGACTCTCTAACCCTGGTCCTGAAAAGCTCTTATCCAGCAGGTGTTACAGAAATTAATCAAGAGGAAGAGTCACTTATTACCAGGTTATAAACACTGTGTTAATTGTATCTTCCTGTCTTACAGGTTATAAGTGATTTATATACAAATGTGCATCCCCCATATTGAAATACATTCCCTGAGTCCCTGTCACACTGTTCACTCTAAACTCCATGCCAACATCAGTACTTGACTAGGATAAGCTGCTCGACTTGCTCGGAGTCATTGTGTTCCTGTAGCACATGGCACAGAAATCCAAATTTAAAACTTCCTTCAGAAAGTCAAACCCTTGACATAGTGGATTTGAGAGTCCCATAAAAAATAGTCAAATAATTCTATGAAGTATGTAAGGAAGGCAAATATTTTCTGGTACAAGTTTAAAATCAATTAACAGACAGGAGGGAGTTTTGGGAGCTAACAATGGCTACAATGTTATTCTTGTGCTTCAAACAGAAGAAAAACAAAACTAAATTTTCTGTGGTGTGTTGTCTCTTGATGCACTGTCAGTTCAGTTTCTCTGACTGTGGCTCTGTTGCCCAACCCTGGTGTGCAATATCTGTGCCTTCGTCTCTCTCACCTCACAAGTTGGAGCACACGGTTTAAAAATAGCCAGGAACTCAGCCATTAGAGATCTGGATGTGCAGATGGTCATCAGAGCTGAGTGGCTGTCACATTTCCATCCATCCATTTTCTAACTGCATCATCCAGTACAGTGTCGCGGGAGAGCTGGAGACTATCCTGGCAAGCAACGGGCACAAGGTAGGATACACCCTGTATGGCACACCAGTCTAAGTAGGGCACACAGACAAACACACGCTCAAACACTTATGCCAGGGCCAAATTTGCCAGAAGCCAATAAACCTGCCAGTGTGTCTTTGTACTGTCAGATGAAAACAGGAGCACTCAGTGGAAACCCATGCAAACACAGATAGAACATGCAAGCTCCACACAGACAGTGGTGGGAGGCAGCAATGCTGACCACTGGCCATGGTGCCACCCCTACTTTAATAGATCACACCCTTTTTGGAACTTGTAGAGTATTACATACTACTCTCAACAGGTTTTGAGATAATAGTTGATTTATGGTCACCTTCTTGAGCCACATCTTATAATTGATGATTTTGTCAGGGGGGATCACATATTAAATACCATGTGAGTACATAGGTATTCAGGACAGCTCTGTCTTAAGTTTAAAAAACAGGGATTACAAGGGACGGGGAAGTTTTTGTTGAGTTCATGCAAGCCCTTTACATGTGAAAATATATTTAAAGTAAATATACTATTATCCATTTAAGGAGGATAAATAAAGATTAACATACCATTAATAAATGATTGTCATTCCAAATAGGAAATGGCTTAAATGATTTGGGCCATGGGTTTTTTCAGATCATAAAAAGTGCTAAGAGATACTTTGTCCATTGTCAAAGGAATACAAGAACATTTATTATGTTTGTTCTGTTTGGAATTCAGAAAATCAAAATTGGCTTCCCTTAAAAATATCAAGGTAAAGGGATAAAGGTAACAGGGAACAAAATGTTTAATCACAGTAAAACATTTGTCTTCTGTTGTAACTGTTTTGCATTGCCAGGACATATACTGTAGTAAGGAAACCGTCATTGCTAATCACATTAAATCTGATTAAAGATTGGGATGTAATTAACTTTATAAACTGCAGTGAAAGAAGAAACCAAGAAAATTTTAAATCATCTGGAATTGTTGATTCCATCTACCTTTACATCTAAATTGAGTGTCATGAGCATTTCTGGTGCCCAATTAGTTCTGTCGGCAAGTTAAAACAATAAGGAACTGAAATCAC